TCCACGCTCGGTCGAATCCGCACGAATTTCGTCTTCGGAAAAGCCGGTGCAAGGTCATCGCACACCTCGTCGATGCGCGCGCACTGCTCCGCCCCCTCTAACACTACGTGCGCCACCACCCTCGAGCTCGCCCGGAGCGTCTCCCCCAGCGCGGTCTCCTTAATCTCGGTGTACCTAGCCCTGCGAGCTTCCGCCGCGGCGTTCGCCGCCGCGCCCTTGAGCTCGCGCAAGCGTCTCGCCTTGAGCTCGCGCAAGAACGCGTCCTCATCCTCATCATCGTCCGTCGCAGCCCAATCGTCATCATGCTCGTCCTCATCGCGCGCGCCCTCCTTCACGATCGATTCAGCGAGCTTGATTCGCTCCACCGATCGATCGACCGCGCGCAACTCTCGCAACATCGTCGCCGCCTCTCTCTGCTTCTTCGCATCTTCTTCGCAGCACCCGCCCGGTCGCGGGATGTGCGCGCCGGCTTCGCCCATGGCATCCAGCTCATCATCGATCCACGATTGACACTTCCCGTTCGCACACTCGACGCCCATCGCGATTGTCGACGTGGCGCGCGCGAGTGGCGCTTCGAAGATTTTTGGCTGGATTTCTGTACCCTAGCGCATCGCGTTCACCTCGCTCGCCCGCGCTCATTCGAGAGCGCGTCGAATGTCAACGCGGTTCGCCCGAGTGAGCGCGTCGGTGCGACGAGCGCTCGAGTCCTCGATCGCGCGTCGACGCGAATCGCGATGTTTGGCGTCGGCGGTGCGCGGATTAGATGTGGAGAACGAACTCATCGTGGACGTCGAGCGGGCCAACGAGCGCGAGCGAGCGCGTCGGGCGATGCTCAAGGACGCGACAACGCGATCGAGAATGCGCGAGATGATGGTTTTCGATCGAGACGTCGTGCGAGCGCACCGAGATCGAGCGGCGTTCTTACAGGGTGAGGCGGTGAAGAGTGCTCCGGGACGGGTGCCGGATGTGTTGTTGGACGAGCTCGCGCGGCGTTTGCTCGATCGGTTGCGAGACATCAAAAGGAGATTCAAGCGAGTGATCGTCTTGGGTGGGGCGAGCGAAGCGATCATGAGAAGGTTACTAGGAGAGAGGGACGACGTGGGCGGGCACTTATGGGCAGCAGAACAACAGGCCCTGTGGAGATCATCAGTTTCAGTTGAACGTCCGTGAAGTCACTCAGCGTGCATCCGTGCACGTGGTTCAATATACTGTGAGCGCTGAAGTACGCGTGTCTAACTGCATCGAAGACGCGTTCGTCGGTTTCCGAAGTGCAGTCAACGAGCCAAGCAGCGAGCATCGCGTCGCCGAGGAAGGCGACTACCATACCATCGTACGCGCTCACGATATTAGCAAGTCTCGTGAAGTATTCAGCGAGCACAGTTCGCAAGAGCCTACCGTGAGACGCAGAGGCCTCAGCGAGCCGGCGGCACCCGTGGATCTCCTGACGAATATGCTTCAAGGGTGCGCGATCGAGCTCGTGGCATCGATTTTCACACGTACACATCTTCACAAAGTCATTCATGTCTACTAAGAGCAACGCAGCGTGCGCTCTGTGTTGCATTACTTCGCCGCTCGTCACGCTTGACAGCCATTTTGCAGATGCCGGTACGAATGCCTCTAGAAACGATGAGTCACACCGCGCTATACTGCTCATGCATCTTTCATCGAGCGCCCGTTTGACGTCCTAGAAACTTCTAATGTCTAAATTTGGGCTCATACGAGGAGATTGTTTACGCGTGCGCTTTGTTACCCATCCGTTCGATACAAGCACGCGCCCGTCATCCAAATACTCTTCACGCACGGAATCATCGTTCATACGCACTATGTGCGTTCCGCTACGACCCTCCGGCGCCATCGTTCCTCCGAACAGTCGCAGACGTAGTTCGACGTTGAATCGCTCCTCATGCAACATGAGGCGAAAGTGTTCGCTTTCAGACATCCATTCGTTGTGTTGAACATCGCACGAATCGTCGATTTCAAACACGCACTCGCTAAACGTACAGTACTTCATACTCTTAAGTAAGTTCGGGTACTCGCGAGTTAATTCGACCATGGCCGGGACCTCCGATGTTTCCCAACGCTTCGCTTGATCACCAACTTGGTGAAGAAGTGCGCGTATGTCCTCTTCGTTGCACGGAATGGCGTGGTCGTCTCCATACCTATCCATTATATTAGAGCCGTACCAAGTCGACGTCGCGAGATTTAAGCGATGTCGTGGTCGCGGCGTCACGATACGGTTCTGCTGGATGCACTGCTTCAGCCAATCGATTGTGTACACGTCGCCATGGTGGCTTGCGGCGATGAATTTTGCACCGTCCCTGTTCGCAGCCACACTATGCGTCACGTCGGAGTGCCACATCTCGCTCGTGCGTCCACCGCGAGCGATGATTGCTTTGAACAATTCCTGCTTTTGCTCTCGACTTTCGCAATTCACTATATGTATCTGCAAGCTTTTGAATACTTCAGATTCCGGCACAACACCAGAGACATCAACAGGCATCAGATGGGCCGGAAGTAACGTCGTGAGCGCCGCTGCGCGCGTGCGTTTCCGAGAATTCATGTGTCCCTCGCCCATATCCATCGCGATGTTTGGTCTGTCTTCTTCAATTATTTGTTTGAGCTCTGCATTTGTGAGTATGTCTGACCACGTTTTATCGTATCGAATGCCAGTCACTCGTGGAAAGCGCAAGCTGTATCCAGTCGCGTACGTCATGGAACGAATGCATCGAATATCACCCTTTACTCTCACGACAACAGATCTCTGCGGTGGCCAAATCCATACGTCGGGTCTTTCGCTGTAGGCGTCTGTGACGTTGTAATCCATCTCTCGTGGCTTTTCTCTATGCATGTAGTCACCCAAACGGTTTCTAAGGTCATCCAACTCTGTGGCGCTGATGCCGGTGCCGACCTTGCAAAAGCTCATTATCTTGATTCCGTGAGCGCTCGTTGGGTCGTTCGTAGATTCGATGATACCAACGAGGAATTGAGAAATTTTACCTCCACGCAACTCACCAGCGCCGTAGTATCCTCCGATCAGAAGCACGTCCAAGTCCTCGCTCTTGCAGTAGTCCGGTTTAATTTTCATCCAGTTACCGCTACGATCACCAGGAATCCACTCGCTATTGAGATCTTTGATGACCAAGCCTTCGTCACCGGCTTCGATCGCTTCAAGCAATGCGCGCTCGATGTCCTGCTTGGTTGAGCCGATTTTAGAAAACTCACAGTCGGGAGTCGCAAGTAAAATTCGAGCTTTAATGTTTCCACACATCGCCGATACCGGGTGAACGTGCTCCCTGAGTTTCGCATGACGCTCGACGAGCTGGAGATGCCGAACGCTTTCGTCTCCAATATACAAGATGTCGAATGGTACATAGACCAGCTCCAAATCGCCGTACGTTAGTTTCTTCATGTACTCTTGGTACCACTCGTACTTGGAGCTCTTCGGGTCATAACCAGCGATGTCATCCCCGTCGTCACGATCGTCAGTGTCGTTGGACAAGGGGAAAACCTCGTCTTTCGACTTGCGCAGGTTCGCCGCCTTGATTAAAGTTTTAATCGCTCCGAAAGGATGCCATGTCTCTCGAAGCTTGTTCCACACCAACAGTTCGCCGTCGAGGATACATCGCTTCGGTAGATGGCGAAAAAGGCCGTTCATCACGTCGTAGCCGCGTGGTCCGAAATCATTCATGTTACGAGTCCAGTAGTTGATGATTTCTCCGTCTTTGTGAAGCTGGATGCGTTCTCCATCGAATTTCGTTTCAATGATGAACTGTCGGCCCCTGAGCGTCTTCATGATGGCGTCGGCGGTGTTTTTCCTCAGCGCCAACTGAGGATTTATCAAACCCTCTCCGACGTTGATATCCGCGCGTTTCAACCGAACGTCTCGCCTCGGTAAATCCTCGCACACCCTTCTTAAGTCACTCGTCCAATCGAACAAATCCTCCGCGTCTCTGTGGTAGTGACGCATAATTGCCTTGTCTCCCATTCGCAGCTTTGTTTCCTTCAGAATGATCGCGCACGCCCACTTCACCATCACCGCATCCATCTTCCCGAACAGCTTCCTGAGCGTCGCCGCACGCTCGTGTTTGCTCTCGCACGCCGCTAACTCGTCCAAGGTATCGTTTACCTCGCCAATGGTGAGCTCTCGTACGTCTGCGTCGCCCTCCCTTCCCTGAAGATGACCGCGCTCCAAGACCTCTCGCACAGCCTGCGGGAAGTTCCCCCCACCCTTCTGTTTCCAGTCTTCAAGCGTCTTCGCGTCCTCGCTCGCTCGCGCCATGTCGAACGCGCTCACCACGCACTTGGCCAACGCGTCGTGTTTCAACCGATACGTCTCTCGCTCTTTATCCAGCGTCGGTATCAACAATCGATACGCGTCGAACGCATCGCATCGCGTCCCATCCCTCGTCGACACCAAGCACACGTCGTGAAACGCATCCAGCGCCGCGTACCGCCTCGCCGCGTTCGCCTTCTTACGCCCACGTTCTCTTTGCACACGTTCGCACGCGCGCGCGAGCGCTCGGAACGGCGCGTCTCGCGCGCTCGCGTACCTCGGCCCTCCCGACGCATCCATCGACCGCTCCCGACGCGCCGCGCTCGGATCATCGATATCGCCGTCGTCGTCGTCGTAATCGTCGTCGTCGTCGTCCACCGCCGCGTCCTTCATCGCGTCGTCGTCGTTTTGAGTTTCTCGCGCGCGGTGCCTCGATTCATCATCTTCTCCCCCACGCGCGCGCGCCACCGCGTCCGCGTCCGCGCCCGACGTTCTCGGACGCGCGCACACGCGCGCGTCGTCCCATCGCGGCGTCGACTCGGACGGTGCGCGCGGCATGACGCGCGCGCGTCAGAATCTGTGGGAATCTGCCGACGCGTCTGCGCGTCGTGAGTCATCGACGCGTCTCGTCGTCCACGCCGCGTCGCGCGGCGCGGGACGGGCGAACGAGGGACGGGCGCTTCATGCGCGCGTGAGCGCGCGCGCGCGCGCGGCGCGAGCGATGCTCGAGCGCGAGCGCGACGTCGCGATGGTCGCGAGCGCAACGGCCGCGGATGGAAATCGTCGACGACGCGGGCGCGTCGCGACGCGCGCGGGACGCGACGCGCGCGCGGGGGTGTCGGTATGCGTCTCGATCGCGCTCGGGCTCGCGGGGACGGCGCGCGCGGCGTACCCGAGCGCGTGCGCGGGCGCGCTGGTGGACGCGACGTCGACGGAGCGGGCGAACGCGACGGCGGCGCCGGGGGAGCTCACGGGCGAGGTCGGGGAGTGGTGGACGCACGCGCTGACGGGGACGTCGACTATGAAGCGGTGTTTCTCTGATTGGACGTTCGCTCGAGCGAGCTCGGAGACGGGGACGTGGACGCCGTTGGCGTGGCCGCCCGGGAGCGCGACGACGAACGAGACTTCGATTCCGAGCGCGACGTTTGTGATCATTCCGGGCACGGGCGGCGCGGACGCGGTGCTCAGACCGGATGCAGAGGGAATGTACGCGGTTGCGCTCGTGGATTCGAGCGGGTGCCGGAAGAGTCGCGTGGTGGAGGTGAAGGCGACGTGGACGTGCGAGCCGGTTGGAACGAACGACGCCATGGTGGCCGTATTCGTGGCGTTCGCCGCCGCTTGCGCGTTTTTCTTTGCTAAAAGTCTCGCGCCGTCGAATTTTGAGGACGAGCGTAATGTCTTATGCGACGTCAAGGCGGCGTATGGGATGATTGGACGCGCCGAGGAACAGGCTGAGGAAGACGAAGGATACAAGCGTGAGCTCAGGGACACGCTCGCGGAGATCGAGAGCAACCATCTCACCGACGTCACGAAACTTGATTTACAGAAAGATTTGAGGGATATGCTCGTCGAAAGAAAGAGGGCGGCCAGAGAACGAGAGGCGAAGGCGTCTGGAATGTGGAACGAGACCGAAGAAGAATTCCAGAGAACCTTGTACGAACGGGAGAGAGCATTGCGCAAGCGGACAAGGTTTATGGAACAAGTTTCGTACGGTATTTCAAAGAGCATGGCGGACGTGAACTACCAATTTCGAATGAATCGTGCGAAGACTTCGATTTACGTCAAGTACAATCTATCGCGGCTCTTCAAGAAGGAGTATTGGTGCATGACTTTGTTGCAATTCCAACTGCGTGTCGAGTTGCTAGCTTTCACGGCTTTCGCGTGGCGCCGAACGAGTCATTCGAACGAAATGTACCGCGATGGCGTGGCCGATGTGTTGTTTTATCCTAATCTATTCGGCCCAGGGATGAAGGCCACTGGAGCGGCCGATCGATTGACGAATTGGTTCTTCGTACTCCTATTTGGCGCTGTGATTTGCCCGGTCGTCGTCAAGATTTTCAGCCGCGTGCGAGACCACTTCGACAAGTGCATGTGGACTTACGCTGAATTCGTGGAGATGGGAGGGGATCGAACTGCGGCTGTTTATTTAACAGATGATGATGTAGAGGGTGGTGCTGTCGAGATGGACGAACCGGGTAGTGAAAAGTTGAGCCGAATGGCCAGAGTGCTGATTATTTTTTCGGCGCTGAGACGATGGATACTGTTTCTGCCACCAGTGATTCCTGATGACTTTGATCCGGTGCGCAAGCCGGAAAAGTATCGTAAAAAGATAGTTCCAGACGATGCGTGGAAAACGGCCGAGGCTGAGGATATCTTGCGCGCCGTGCGCGTGGAGATTTCATCGCCAATCAACATGCGAGTGTTACCGCGGAGGGCAGCAGATCGCATGCAGCTCGTGGCAAAACTGGCTATCAAAAGTAGGTTAAGATCGCGAAGATTCGGTGCCTTGTCCGATTTTATTGAAGGTATTGGCTACGTCTTGCGCGTGTTCGTTCTACGCGTTGCTTTAGCGCCGATGCTGTTCGCGGCTCTGGGTCTCCTCATGGTGACAAGTTCGTTTGTGCCGACGCCGTGGGTGCACGCATCAAAGGATATATCTTCAGCCCCAGGTGACAATTTGTTCTTCGCGTTATTTCTCGGTTTAGGTGCGATTGCAGTTTCTATGAAGATGGCGGTGGATTCGGAGCTGCTTGATTTAGATTTACGTCCAGTGCCAATTTTCGAAATTGTCAACGTATGTCTTAAAGTGCTGCTGTGCTGCATCACGGCGTACATGGAAGCCGAGCTTCCGGACCTGGGTGTGCCCGCACTCAACGCAGAGGCTCGAATAACGTCTTTGCATACGTTCCAAAATTTTCTTCCAATTCTAGTGTGCGTTATTTTGCTCTTTACGCACCTAAAAATTCAATCTTTGCGTGGCTTCGGGCACATTTGGAACGGGAAGAGATTGAGCGGATTTGCAGGCTCGGCCATGTTCTTTATTGTGACGTTCAGCGCACGAATCGTCAACGAACCTCCACCGTGGGCATCGCGCGCTACGATTCCCCACCGCGGAGCTTCAAATTGGGGTCGTCCTGGCGTCATAATCGGCATCATCACAGCGCTGGTGGCCATGGGACTGGCGCGCATCGCGAATAGCAAGCACGAGTACAAGTGCTTGCGAAAGGAGCTGAAGGCTATTGGTGAGCCGAAAAACATTGGCAAAACGGAAGACATCCTGACGCCCGAGTTTATGACTGAGCAAATTGAATCGGAACATCGAAGAGATCGAGTCACTGCGCTGGTTGCTTTTTACAGCCTTTTGGATCCTGAGCAGAGTGCCCGCATACTGAAGTCATTGGTAGACAAGACGAAATTACCGAGATCACAAGATACAACGGACGGCGAGGATACAAATGACAATGACGAAGCGTGGACTACGGCGAAAGACGCGTTTGAAGAGCTAGCGATCATCGTGAGCTGTATCTCCAATGACCCGGCGCAGGAGTTTTTAAGGACAGCTGGTGAAGAGTTTCTCAAGGGTGCGTTCCTTTCGTACATTGAAGGAACGATACAGATGACTTTGTGGTGCAAAGAAGAAAGTTCCTTTTTGGCTTACGAAGCCGTGCACAAACTGGTCACCCTGGCGAGGGATTGTATGAAGAGCGGAGAAACAAAAAGTTTCCAGGCCACCATAGCGTCGGTGACGATGGAGTGCATCCAGTCGCTGGACTTCGCCTACCTCATGTCCACGCTCCTATTCAACGATCATGACATCAAGTTGGACGTATACGGAGACGGCTACGCTGTCTCTGCGAGGACGCTTCGACGAATGATAGACGATGCGTTTGAGATCGAACCAAGACCTGTGGCGAAGAAGCTCGATCGCCCCATCACTCACGTTCGTGATCCCGTTACAGATGAGATTCGGAAACTCGACAGAGTGGAACGCGTGATGTATATTGCTCGCAGTTGGCTGCGACCGGCTCTGAAAACACCAGAGCCGGAGTTGAACTGGCTCACATCGATGGGCTACTACGCCACTGTTGGTAAATTGCAGGCTGAGACGGACGGGGAGCGCATCGAAATCGCTCACGACTTCTTGATGACTTTGTTGCGGGCATCGCTGAGCACGGACGAGCAAGTGTCTTACTTCGCGATACGAACGATTTCTACGCTAGTGCGCGTCGGCGACGCCGCGGCGAGCGTTTTCCAAGTTGATGGGTTATCCCTGCTCTTTGAGTGCAGAGACGCAAACGTGGGCACGTCAAAGGAGACCTTCATCTCAGATATCATCTACGGGCTGACGAACGACGCAAATAGTAGGTCCGAGTACCTGACGGCTCTGGCGAGCATTCTCGTCGAGCCACCTGTCGAAGATGAGCGGTATAAGCTGAATGCCATCGAGCTGTTACATCAAGCCTTGAAATTGGAGATGAGCGCCGTGTACAAAGTGATGCGGTTGAGGTCTGACGAAACGAAAATGAAATATAAGGCATCGATGACTCCGGAGTCGGCTCTGTATGCACACGATGCTTTATACGGAATGCTCATCGACACCTCGCCAGAAGTGCGAGAGCACTGCGTGTACGCATTGGTAGATTTAATCACGTTGTTTGTGTGGGGATCACGCGGCGAATTTTACGTCTTCACTCCACCCGTGACAAAGGAGTACCAGGAAGTGGCGTTCGAAAAATTCTTGGATGAAGCAAAAAGAAAGATGCCAGGCGGCGCATTAATGTCAACGAGTATGTATCGCCATCTGCATCGGAAAAAAATGACAGATAGCCCACAGAAAGACGCCGACAAACTCCTCGCGGTGTTGTTGAAGGTTTTCAACACCGACGGCGACTCCCAAGTGCGAGGGGCAGCTGAAAATGCTTTGAAAGACGTGAAAGCTCTGATGTCTGAAGAGCAAGCGGCGGAGTCACTAGCTCTATACGATGAAAAGACGGACCCGCGTGACGCAAGAGGATCAGCCCCTTCGCGGAAGATTTTGCGTGAAGTGACTGCCGCGATACACGCCTCGGTCGAGAGGCAACACGAACAGGATGCGACCGCGTCCAAGCTTCGAATGAACGAGTTTTGGCGTAAAATGAAGGAAAGGAGTAACGTAAATACTACATCTCAACCTCGCGTATCCACGAAAGGAGGAAAAGTCGAAGTGACCGCACGCGACAAAGAGCTTACGACCCGCTCAACGCCTGGCGGGCGTCTACCTATCGTTAAGGATTCTATTGGCTTCAAGAGAAGAGACAAATACGCCGCGGCAGTGATTGTACGTCACCCACCGCCAGCTTCCGAGCACGATGCGCTCGATCGTCAGAAAAAGGAGAGAAGTGCGATCAGGGCAAAGCGACTAATAGCGAGAGAAGCGACTCAGGAGCGATGGTACGGAGGAGAAAACTTCTCACGAAACCAACGTGCAGCGTCGATTTCGAACGATATCGTGGAGCCGAAGAAGAGCGCCATGTCGAAGATCGACGAACTCAATAAGAGACCCACAATCACTCCGCCGTCGTACGGGCTCACTCGACTCCCGAAAGAGTTTAGGACAAGACCAAGAAAATTAGAAGAATAGTTTCGGTAACAGTCGATATTACATTCATCATGCCTGTGAAATCGCGTCCGAAATGGCTTGAATCCACGTCGCGGCTGCGACTGCGCCGGGATCGGGCGTCTCCTTCAGCACGTCCTGGTTCACATAACTCGATCGACCGGCTTTCGCTGCCATGTTCTTCGTATCCTCTGCGCCGCTCTTCGCCGCCTTGGCCGCCTCAGCGACGACTTCCGTAACCGTTTTCCTGCCCATATGGGTCACGGTTGCCATCGTCAAAGCCGGTACGAGCGCATCCAGCATGGTTCGATCGCCCGCGCGAGCTCCACCGTATTCCATCATCGCCTGTACGCCAGAAGAAAATCCGAGAAGCACAACATCGACACTCGGCGGCTTCCCAGCGGCAACTTTCGCGAGCTTATCGGCAGCAGCGGTGAAAAATATATCATACAATACGCCGCTTGTCCCACCCATGCTGTGTCGCACGGTGTGACCGATTGCGCGAGCGAGATCGGAGACGTTGTCCAGAGGGTACGTGTCCACGGCCCCCAGCAAAGCTTCGGCGCCACTTTTGATTGTCGTCCCACAATCACCGTCGCCGGCCACGCTATCGTACTTCGTGAGCTCCGGTTCAGCCGCGATGAGCGCTTTCGCGACGCTCTGAATCGCTCGTAAGGCTGCGGCACCCTCAGAAGTCTTGGGTGGCCCATTCGCCATGGGTGCGCTCGAGCTTGTGGCTCCGACGCTTATGATTTGTCCCTGCGTCACGCGAGCGCTCTTCGGCCATGCCGAGCATGAACATGGCGCGTCGAGGAGTTCCACCCGAGCATCGTCATCCAGGGCGCAAATAGTGAGACTAAACCCGTTCATGTCGATCGAAGACATGAATGTACCTACGTACGCGTGCGTCACCTGAATGTTCTTCACGCCCGCCAACCACGCGAACGCCGCCCTGGCAATGACGTACAACTCCATCAGCGGCGTCGCGCCGAGCGTGTTCACCATGAGAGCAACTTTTGAACCCTCCGAAAGCTTGGATATTTTCTCATTTTCGGTGAAGATGCTCGTCAGGAGCGTCGCCGCGAGTTCGTCGGCGCCCGTCTGTTTGACCGTCGTCGCGCCTGGCTCGCCGTGAATCCCCATCCCGAGCTCCATCTCCCCATCCGGAACCTCTCGAGCGACGCCCGGCGCCCCTGGTAACGTGCACGCCTGTAACGCCACCCCCATTGTCCCCACGGCTTCGGCGCACCGTCTCGCCTCCTCTGCTACCTCCTTCAGCGTCCCGCCCGCCGCCGCTTTGGCGCCCGCCACTTTGTGCACGAAAAGCGTCCCCGCCAACCCTCGTCGCCCCGCGATGCCAACCTTTTCCTTTGATAGCCCGCAATCCTCGCCCACGACCACCATGTCCACGTCGTACCCTTCCAATTTTGCTCGCTCCGCCGCGACGCCAAAGTTGAGTCTGTCTCCCGTGTAATTCATCACCACCAGCAGCGCCCCCTTTTTCCCAGCCGTCGCGCGGATCGAGGCGAGCACCGCCTCCGCGGTCGGGCTCGCGTACACGTTCCCGCACACGGCGGCGGTGAGCATGCCGTCTCCCAAGTACCCGGCCATCGCGGGTTCGTGACCGCTGCCGCCGCCGCTGATCACAGCAACCGTCTCGCGCTTTGGAGAGACATCCGAGACGTGCACGAGGACGCCCTTCTCTTCGGCGACGCGAGCGCAGTGCGGGGTGGCGAGGGCAAACCCGTCGAGCATCTCGGGGACGACGTCCTGGACGGCGTTCAGGAACTTTTTGGATGACATTTGTACTTTCAGAGAGGCGCGTAGTGGGGACGCGAGCGGACGCGTCGGCGGTGGAATTACGTCGATCTGGACGGGACGTCGCGGTGTAAAATGGTCATCATTATCTCATTCTTTTCATAGGATTCGATCGATCGTGGTCACTACAAAGCGCGTGGCGTGACGTCGCGAACGTCGTCTCGTTGGGAGACTCTGTTCTCTCCGCGCCGCGTAGACGCTTTGTACCGTTCGTCGCCGACGTTAAACGTGTCAACGCTTTTACGCCGCGCCCTCTCCCTTTGCGGCCTCGCCCTCTTTCATGTAATTATCGAGGTCGGCGTCCATCGCAGCCGCGTTAGACGCCGCCTGATTCGGGCATTCCTTCGCGATGTGTCCCTCCTGCTTGCAGATGCGGCACATTTGCGGCTTTGGGCATTCCTTCGCGATGTGTCCCTCCTCACCGCAATTTCGGCAAGCGCCGAGCTTTTTACGCTCACTCTCCGGTCTGTTATCCGGCTGCGGGCACATGTTGGCCCAGTGTCCCTTTTCTCCGCATCGGTTGCACACGTCCTCCGCCCCCGCGAGTCTCCGTCTCGGCGCGTCATACCCACCACCGGCGCGATCACGGCACTCCCTCGCGAAGTGTCCCATGCGTCCACAGATCCGGCACGCACCATCTCGCGCGCCGACGCCCATGATCGCCCCCACCGGCGACGGGCAATCCCTCGCGTAATGTCCCAGACCGCCGCAGCGCGAGCACTTATCTCCGGGTCGCGCCCCCCCCATCGGTCGCATCGGCCTCGCCCCTGGTCCCCGCGTGTCCGGAAGCGCGCACTCACCCGCCCAGTGTCCGATCTGTCCGCATCGATTACACCGATCGGTCCCGCGCGAGGGCGCCCCTCGCGGGCACTCGCGCGCGTAATGTCCCGGTTCCCCGCAATTTCTGCACAATCCATCGTTCACGACCCCGCTCGCGTACGGGGCGTATCGTCCACCCCCCGCGGCGTCCCGGGCGTCGTCCACCCACTTCCCCATGTCGCGCCCGTCGTCGCGCACGGCGTCGTCGTCGCGATCTGCCGTCGTTCGTGACGCGAGACGACGCGCGCGGGCGATCGCGGGCGATCGCGCGCGTTTGGCGGCGCCGGGGACGTCTCGCGCGCGTACTTCGTCCCGTCGACGGCGATGTGGTTTTTTTTATACCCAGCGCGTGCGGGCGTGCGTACTGTTTACCCATAGATGACGGGTCCGTCTCGCGCGTCGATGCGCGTATGGGTTTCGTTCTCGGGGGCCGTCTCGCGCGTCGGTGCGCGTATGGGTTTCGTTCGCGGGGGCCGTCTCGCGCGTCG